ATCTAGTTAGTAGTAGAAAGATACTAGTACTAAGCTAAAGAGAGCTATTAAGAGCTCTATATATAGAAGAACTTCTATAGAACTTCTATGTGTAAAAACCTCCCCCCCCTCTCTTTACAAATTGCGAAAAATTAGTAATTCTCTGCTCTGCTAGTAGAGCTAATAATCTCTCTACCCTACTAGTAGAACTAATAACTCGCTACTCTGCTAGTAGCTAAATACCTTCTCTCTTCGCCTCTTTCTTAATTAAAAAGCTAAATAAATCTAAATACTATAAGAGAACTCTTACAAAGCTAATCTAGAGGTAGAACCTTAGCTTTATAATACCTCTTTACTCTAATAGTTCTTAAATCTAGAGTAGTAAACCTACCTATAAAATATACTAATTAATATTTCTATTATAAAAACTCTATTTAGTAACACAACATAATAACTAACAAGAATTAGAATAATAACTTTAACTAGAAGCTTATAAGGCTTCGCTAGAGCTTAGTAATACTAGAGCTATTATTAGTCTTAGGTTTATTTATACTCTCTATCTCTACTAAAAAGCTTTAAGAGCTCTTTCTAGAAACGCTAGCTAAAATTATTAATAAAATAGTTAGCTAATTATATATATAATAGGTATATAAATAATAAATCTATATATATTACTAGATTACTACTAATACTCTTTCTAAGAGAGATAACGTATACGCGAAAAATCTAACATAGACTACTATTCTAGCTAAAAAAGACGCTAAAATCTAGTAACTATAAGCGCGATTAACTTACTCTAGAGACTAGATACTATCTACTACGCTAGTTTAACGCGTAACGTGTTTCTCTATAACACTAATTATACGTAATTTAAGCGCGTTACTACTAGAGAATTTAATTCTAGGTTCTTACCTCTCTATATACTAGCTAGCTACGCCTCTAGCGTTATAAGTATAGAAGAGCTAATTAATATACTCTACTAAGTTTCTAGATCTACTATTATTATTAGATAATAAGAGTATTACCTTTAAGTAGTAGAGAGATAGCTTATATAATAAACTTTAAGTAAACTAGAATTAGTATACTAGAGATACACTAGAAAATACTAAGAAAACTATTATTATCTATATCTACACGTAAACTAAAGAAGACGTGTACTAGACTTTATTAGTAATACTATAGATAATTAAGAATAGTAGCGTAGTAGTTTTCTATAATTATATTCTTAATTAGCTAGAGAGAAGCTATAGAGATCTATATAAGAGGCTAAATACTTACTATAATTTCTAAAAGCTTTATTACTAAAGCGCTACTAACTTCGTCTACTTTTAGAATAATTTCTTCTACCTTATATAGAAGCGCTAGCTTCTAGTAGACTAATAGGTAGAGAAATTTTATAAGAAGCTACTAGAGACTATATATACGTAGTTAGGTATATACTAATGTTAATACGTTAATAACTATAACTACTATATAGACCTTACTTAAGACTTTACTTAAGAGCTTACCTCTAGAGAAGTATATGTTACTACTAGAAAGGCTAAAAAGCGTAACGTAATTACGTTAATACTATAACGCGCGCCTCTAGCTCTTCTAGATTTTTTAGCACCTAATAAAGCTCTAGTAATTTAGAAGCTAGTTACCTATTTTTAATACTACTAACCTAGCTACCTAAGCTATAATTACTCTAGAGCTTCTTCTACGTAGAAAGCTATTAAGAACGTTAATTTAGAGAAGAAGTCTATAGAGCCTATAGAGCTATAAGTACCTAAGAATAATACGTTAGAATGTAAATCTAATAATTTAGAAAAAGCCTAGCTCTAGAAGAAGTCTTCTCTCTAGAGCTACCTACTAGAGTAATAAACCTATATAAGAAGCTATTTAGTAGTTCTACGTTTACTCTACTCTACTAAATATCTATAAATAGTCTTATAATTAAGCTTAGAGGTCTAATTAATATAGAAGTAGGTAGCTACGTCTTAGTATATCTAAAGCACCTTTAAACTCTTAGAAAAAACCTCTACGTTAAGCTATTACGTATAGAACTAATCCCTCTTGCTAGATATAATAGATAACCTAATAGCTAGGTAGACAAATACTTTAAAGCTAATTTAGTACTAGAAAGCTACTAAATTCGTACTTACTTTATATATTATAATACTAGCTACTATAATATAATAATTAGTTATAAGTTACTTAAAGAAGTTAACGTTTAGGTTAACTACAAGTAACGCGTACTAATGTAGCTAGATACTAATTAATTAATTAATTATAAACGCGACGCGTTTATCTCTACATAATTCTTTTAATCTACTACTAAAGCATAAGTAGCTTACTAAGCTACTACTAATTACTATAACGCCTTAATATTAGTAGTAGAAAAGCTAAGAGTAATATAATAAGAGAAGAAAGAATTATAACACTAGAAGCTTTAAGAGAACCTATATAAGATAGATAGGTAGCTTAAGAATCTTAATCCGCCTGCTAGGTTGCCTTGTAAGCTAAAAAAGCTACCTATTTTATAAGAAATATACTTAAAGGCTAGGCTTAACGTTAATATAATTAGCGTAGCTACCTTTATAATTAACGCGCGATAAAAAAATACTATAATTAGGTACCTTAGTATCTATAAGGTTAATTAGCTTATTACTAATAGAAAGAAAACCCTAGTTGCTAATCTAGAGAAGAAACTCCGCTAACTAGTTACTAAAAAGCTTCTATTTCTAGAATATACTAGCGTAACTATAGCCTATTTCTTAAAAAAGAATTCTAATACCTATAAGAGCTAGGTTTGTAGTCTCTACTACTATAAGCGCCTCTAGAATACCTAGCTAGATAAGTTAGCTATAGGTAGTACTATCTTTACAAGCTATAAGAATAAGAGGTTCTAGTAGAGTAGGTTAGGTTAAATTTAGCTATCTAAAGGTAAGAAGTAGAGAAAAGGCTCTAAGAGGCTCTATATATAGAGGTGCTAAGCGCTAAGACGCTAGGCTAGGTTACGTAATAAGATTACGTAACCTAAAGTTATATAACCTAAGGTAAATCTCTAAACTAGACTATTATATTACTCTCTCTTATAGAGAAAGCTTGTCTCTAAGCTCTAAAATACGCCTTCTAGGTCTTTCTTCTTCTAAAACTCTTGCGTTATACTTCTAGCTATTTCTTTTTAGCTTATAGTAAGTATATTTATATTAGTTTTAAACTAGAAGCGCTTTTATAGCTACTACCTTCTCTCTAGTTACTCTATTCTTATAGAGATTTAAGCTAGAAGGCTTATTTTCGCGTCTATAGAGCAGCTTTATTATAGGCTCTCTTCTTAGTAGCGCCTTTACGTTACTCTTATATCTTCTACTCTTATAGGTTTTAAATTCTCTACTATCTTCTCTAGAGTCTCCTCTTTTTTATACGCCTTAATCTAAGTATCTAATTATAATAGTAGCTCTAGCTTATCTAGATATACTATATAAAAGTCTCTTACCTTATAAAGAGCGTTAATAAAGCCTATAGCATTATACTAGGTAAAGTTAGAATTATAAGTAACCTATATAGCGTAGTATTAAAGGTAATTTTAATAAAGATAGCTATCTAGAATTTTATATATAGGCTATTCTAGATTACTATTAACTTTAATAGGTAGCTACTTAGGCTCTACCTACTCTAGTAATAGCTCTAA